TATATATAAATATAATTTATTTAATGAAATAATAGAAATTATTTATTTGTTAACATATTGAACACGAAGCAGATGATATATAAGGATTTTGCTTAAATTTTGAATGTTAAGATTCAAAACCTTAATTCTGTCTACAATGTTGTGTCGACCCTATGAAACACATTAATTGCAAGAAAGATCTAAAAGGATTTGCTTACATTTCAAGTTTTATCATGAAATTCAATTAGAACATAATTGATTTAAAAACCTAATTGGATAAATCCTTTGCATAAGTCAAAAAGAAATATGAAGAATTTTCAAAATAATTGGAGAAAATGAAGTTAAATTTTTTTGAGATATCTTAATGTTTAAGTTAATAAGATTATCAATAAATGAAAGATAATTTATAAGTAATTAAGGAGGGATACCAGTATTTTAAGAATTAAGAGGAGATCATGAAGTAGAATTAAATTGGTATTTTTTTATTAGTAATATTTTTAGGAACATAATTAATTAATATCAAAAAAATGATTGAGGCTTGGAATTTTGATACAGAATAATAATAAATACAAGGTATAAATGATTAATGCACTCTCTAGTAAGGTATTAAGTTTTTAATTTCAATTAGGATTATAATTACTAAACTAACATAAATGGTAGTAGGCTTATGAATTACTATAGAAAAATATAAAATACTTGGAGAAAAAATTATCGCTTGCAACACTCTTTTAAAGTATTGTTAAAATCCATGAAATAATTTAGGTATTTCTTTAATTGAAATGAATGAAATTGGAAAAGGAATAATTACAAGAGATTAGGCAAAAAAGATTAATTGTAACTTGTATAAAGATTTGTTGGATTTTTCGAATTTAGAACTAAATAAAAATTCATAAAATACTTTCATTATAATTGCAAAAAGTTAATGAAATCAAATATTTCTATAGGTTACGCATTAAATGATGATAAGAAATTTCAATAAGCAATTGAATTATGTGAATAGATTTTGAAGGGATAGCCTTAAAATCTTCATGCTTTATATAGAAAATGTATTCATTTATTTTCAAAGTAGGTATTTCTTTATTTTAATTGAAAGAATATGAATAGGCTATTTCATGCATTGATTTAGCACTCAAAAACAATCCAAATTATAGTATAGGTTATTCAATAAAAGGTAGTTTATATTTTTTGTATTGTAATAGGTATTTGTTTAAGAAGTCTTAAGAAATATGAAGATGCAATTATATGCTATGATAAAGCAATCTAAATTGATCCTAATGATGCATTTTCATATAATAATAAAGGTTTATAATTTTGTTATTGTGTAGGAGATTCTTTAGCAAATCTCAAGAAATATGAAGATGCTATTATTTGTTATGATAAAGCAATCTAAATAAATCCTAATTATGCATTTGCATATAATAATAAAGGTTTATAATTTTGTCATTATAATAGGTATTTGTTTACGAAGTCTTAAGAAATATGAAGATACAATTATTTGCTACGATAAAGCAATCTAAATAGATCCTAATTATGTAAATGCTTATATTAATAAGGGTTATTTTTTTATTGTATCCTAATAGGTGATTCTTTAACAATATTGAAAAAAAATAAATTAGCCATAGAAAATTATGAGATGGCAATTAAGTATTGCAGCACTGATGAGAAAGAATTTTTAAACAGAATTTAGTAAATCAAAAATTCTTAATGAAAATTATAGATATCATTAATAAAATAAGATAATTTAGAATTCATGCATCTACACTATATGAAGATTGCTTTTCAAATGTTCTTTTTAAATTTATTTAATTAATTTTTTCAAATGATCTATCATTTCTTTTTGTTTATTCCTGCATAAAGTAGGTATAAAGATTTAATGATAAATATGATATTACTCATAAAAGCTTAAATTTATTAAAAAATTTAATTTCTCTTGATGGTGAATTTTGATTTATGGAATTACTTCCTATTTATTATCTGATTCTATTTTTCAATAATTTGAAGAACAATGCTTCTCTTTATTTATTTAAAAGTCTTTTTCTGAGAGCAATAAAATTTGCTCATGTGTTATACTTTCTTAAAATTCATTTTAATTTTAGATATTATTTATGATTTCTTCGTTTTTAAATACCTTTATCTTTTTCAATTGTCTTTGTATCAAAATTTAGTCTCTACTGATACAAATAAAACTACCTAATAATTTATTTCAGTAAGCCTTTAAAATAATAGTAAACTTATAGAAATGATGATATTTTGAAGTTTTTACTTTTGAAAAAGCTTTGTCATGCTCACTTAATCAATAATAATTAGATTTAACTTGAATTCATAATTTATAAATCAATTATTCTTGATATGAATTAAGGAAGTAGTTCCTTAAACTTGGAGAAATATATAAATTATTAGTAAATAAATTGTTGAATTGAAGATTAATTGCTTGACTTATCTAATTATCAAATTTAATATGATCTTATTAAAACACAGCTATTCAATCTTCATTATTTTTTATAAATTTGTAGAGCTAATTAAATTAACAAAAAATGAATTTATCACAATAACCTTTTCCTCACTATCAAATATTAAGTGAAACCTTATTAATTTAAGTTTATTTTCTAGTCTAATCCAATGAATTTAAAGCTAGTTTATTTTTTAAAGTATTCATATATATATTCTTACTTAAAAGATTAATATCTCTAATATCAGTCATTGACTTAAACCACTTAAAATTAAGAGAATATATTAAAAATTAGGCGAAAGCTTTAAAAAAAATGATTATTTAAGCTTCTTAAATTTCTGAAGAATTAATTTAAATAGCAAAATATTAAAAATGATAGATTGATTTCTAAATATGAAATATATATAATATTTATTTTATTAGAAAAGACTTTAAAAATAAGGCAACTTCTAAATAAAATCAAGACATATAAAATTTCAAGATCTTGGAAGTTTTAAATTCAATAATTTAAATATAAATCTTTGTATTTTAATTCTTAGACAGAAACTTAGAATATAATTTAATTTATCCTATAGAAAAAATAAATCTTTAGCCATTCTAATTACTAATTTTTTTAAGAAGTTTGTCCATAAAATCTTTAAATGGATTATATATTTAGTCATTCTAAAAAATGATTTCAATGCATCATAAAAATCTTGAGATTTATGAATAAAGCAAGTTTCAAAAACGACATAAATTAATTACTTAAAATCTACCTATTTAGAGCAAAATACTATTATTAGTTGTATTTAACGATTTTATTATTATTATTTTAAGTAGAAGAATATATAGAATTCATTTTTTAATTAAAAAAAAATTCATTTGACTTCTTGGAGTTTCTGAAGACGTTGATTAATACAAGATTATTGGAGAATAATATTAAGATTCACCGTTTTATGAAAAATACAAAATCAAAAAATTGTAGACAAAATAGAAAATAAATTTGCATAAATAATATCTTTCACACTAGGAATTACTTCATTATTGATATAAGTTTTTTAGATATATATATGAAACTGTTTATTATTGATATCAATTTTCAGTTTGAATATAGATGATCACATTTCATAAATTATCACTTGTTATAAAACAAGTTGTCTCTTTTCTTTATCAGCCCACTATTGAAAATCAATACCGTTAAGGCCAGTGCACATTAAAGAAAATTATACTCTATCATATTTATCAAATCTATCAGGCTACTTCTTTTAAGTAATATCTTCAGAATTTTAGAATTTCTCAAAGTTTTTTGAATCATCAGATTGAACAGTAGTCACTATTTATCCTTATTGTGATTATTGAATATCTTATTTTTTCTCTTGTGATTACTCAAAATTTTGCATTTTATTTTATTATTTATAATAAACTCTCAAAACTTCAGGTTTTTAATAATTGAATATCCATTCTTACCATATCTTCATTTTAATTATTAGGAATTCATTTCAGAACATACTTCTTTCTGGAATTGTAAATGATAACTTAATATTCGTTTTAAGAAAATAAAAAGATTATAAATATTATTTCATATTAAATTTAAATGATATGATTGTGAAATTCGATAATTTAAGCTAAATTAAGAAACAAGATTTTCACTATGCTCTTAATTCTGTTAATCTTATAAATTCTATAATCAAACTTTTTTGTTTTTTTCAGATTTAAAAAACAACTAAATCTAGAAAATAGACATAATAAGTTCTCCTTCTGCTTCCCTCCAAATCATTTAAAATCCGAAGATCAATTCCATAAAAATGGTGACATTTTTCACAATAAATTAATTTTATATTTGACTTCCTTGTTATTTCAGTGGGTCTGCAGCTTTAATTGATAAAGTCCATTATCAGTAGATATCACTATCCAGTAAATCTCCCATTATTTCTAAATTTTCAATAAAATGTTACATAATTATGTTTATGCTATAACGAAGCATATTTATCACTCCAACCTTGCTTATCCAAATCATAAGACAAAAATCATTAAAAGCCTTTAGGATTGAACCAAAATATTTCTTTCCTTTTCTTTTCAAAATTATAAATTCCTATAATATAATAAACATTAATTTAAAAATATGTTTGGATTTAAATTGATAATTGATAATTTATTTTATTTTTCACTATAATGGACTTCATTAACCTTTTATTTTTAGTTTTAATGTTATTGTTGAATTATATTTATCAATATAATAATTTCTACATTTTTAATATTTTACAAATGACTTATATTGTTTTTATATCTATATATTATTAAAAATGTTAAAATAAGTATTTCCAAATTTCTTATGTATCAGCTAGTTAAAATAAATAATTCAAATCTTTTTTTAATTTTATATACTGATTTGAAAAAAACTTTGATATTGAATTGTAAACTTGATATTATTAATTTAACATTAATTAATTAATTTTTACATTGCACTTATTTATACTTTAATGATGATAAATTTGATTATTAACTTCATCTAATTAAAAAATAACTAACAAACATATAATATTGTAATTCAGCTTATTAATTTTACAAAAGAATAATAAAAACAATATAATAAAATAATTAATGAATCTAAAATTTTCACCAAATTTTTCACTTTAATTTGTTGATAATAAAATGCAAGAGAAGTTTCAAATGAATATATTTTCAATAATGGTAATGAAGTCATCATTAATTCTATTATTAAAAAATATAACTATTAATAAACAAATTACGTAATATTCAACGTAATATGAACTTTATAAATTGAGTAGATTCTAAGTTTCTTAATAATTATATTCATTATTATCAATGAAATAAGGGTTATTTATTTTGCTAGCTTTAAATCCAATAATTTCAGCCTTTGATGAAGCCTGTGCTTATTAACAGTGTCCATAAGATTATACTGAATGTATGTAAGAAGTCTTTGGTTGTGCTTCTTAAGAATAAGTTTGTCATAATGAATGTGGAGAGACAGAACCATGCTTTTAATAATGTGTATATAGAATTGGAAATAAGAAATTTATAAAATTGTAAGTAATAGTGAATTATTTAGATATAATTGTTGGCAATTGTTTTGTAAAAGTACAATAATAGCTTTACCTTGTAATGTAGAGCAATGTGTAAATAATTTTGAAGCAGAATGTTTGGAAAAAAATAATCTGAAGTCTTTTGAATGTATGATCGGATTTTCTTAACAGCATCCGGAGTGCAAATGTTTAAATTAATGATATTATTTTTGTAATAATAGTGATCAATTCAGATTTATTTGATGTTAAGAATTGTAATATATTATATTTTACATTTCATAGAAGTTTTACATATATATTAAACTGAATAAAGAAATTAATAAATAAATATAATCTATATTCAGGAGTAAGATATCATTTTTGAATTAGAATGATAATTCCAAAAAAATTACACCACTAATCATATTTTAACATGCATTAATTATTGCAGTTTTTTAAATTAGATTCCGTATTTGAAACATCATCAACACTAAACAAAAATACTAACTGTAGAATATTTTACGTCGATTTAAGTTAATTGAAATCATAAAAATTATTTAATTTAATTACTTATTTGATAAAGTTTAAATTTAGTAATAGTATTTACTTCCAATTTTATTATATAAAAGCTATTTAATAATTATCTATATAAATTCTGCATCTAACAGGGTTTACCTTTATAAGTCTATTGATTTCAAAATCTGTTTTAAGTTATCAAGTTATGAATAATGATTTTTATTGAACAAAACAAATAATAAATAAGATAGTAAAGTATAAGACCCCCTCAAAATGGACTATGATTTATTTACTTTTATATGAAAGAAAGTTAACTAAATACTTTTAAAACTAAAATTAAAGAATTTAGATGGATATAAATTCATCAAATTATATTTTGAATGAGAGGGAAATTCACCAAAACTTGCCTTATAGTATAATAAAACATATCAATCTTGTACATAAATCATTTTTCCTAATTATTATCCTTTAACTAATTTTTGATAAAAATTAATTTAAAGTGTTTCAACTACCTATATCCTTATTAATCAAATGTAAAAAAAATTAGATTTTATCATAAAAATTACTATATAATATTTTAATATTGAATAATTACAATATAATTGAAAAAGAAAATTCAAATTGGCAAAAATAAATTAAAACTAATCCAATTTAATTTTAAATGAAATCTTATAAAACTCATATTTTTTCCACATATTTTCTTATCTAAATTTCACAAGATTCATCATCATAAGTTATCAAAAATTGCCCATCTTTACTCATAGTTCCATATACTCCACCAACTTCACTATTTTATTAAAATGCTATTGATTATTCAAGGTAACATTCGCAATAAGAAGAGGAAATTAAAGTGAATCTTATTAAATTTAAAGTATATCCATTTTTTATTAGTAGGATTTATTTAGATGGGATGAAATATTAAAAGAACTGTCCTCTGTCATATTATCTCCAGCCTTTAATTTGAAGTTTGTTTATTCGAACATATTACCCAGAGGTGTAATCTTACCCATAAAAAAAAATAAATTCAGAGTTTCTGTGTTATATAGCAAATGAATGATTTGAGAGAAAAGTTAATCTCTCTCCTTTTAACTAGATCTTTTATTTAACTTACCATTTAGATGTGTAGGAACCATTCATAATTAAAATTAAATTAAAATCATCACATGAGATTAAAGTATCACCTTTTTAATTTAATGATAATGCCAAAACTGAGCATTCTTGTTCCTTTATAGTCTAATAGCAATTAAATGAACTTGATGGGGTCAGATACCAAAATTTTATTGTTTCATCATGTGATCCACTAATAATAAGATTTTCTGGGTTAGGGTATATAATTAGACATGAAATGTTATTAGTGTGTTTTTTCAATTTCATCAAGTATTTTCCTTTAAACATTAAATTATATGACCATACAATAATTGATGAAGAATATTATCCTGTAAGAAATAAAGATCTAGTCATAAAAGTTGTAATTGCAGACACATCTTTTTAGGAGTTGATTTGAGAGAGTTACATCAACATTCCATTTTTTAATTAGTAAATCGAGAGGCCTTTTTGTGTTGAAAAAAAAACAAGATTCTTTTTGTCATCAATTGAAAGGACACGGCATTTAAGTTAATTAATTTTTAACCTAGATAAGAGTTCATAGCTGAAATATTTATATTAAGTATTAGTCTATGATTTAGGTTCCTGCATGTTAATTTGTTTTAATATATTTTAATTAAAAATGAAGAGTAGCTAAAATAAGATAGATTTTTAATGATTAGTTTATAGAATATAGATTAGAGATTAATTTAGAAATAAAAAAGTACAATTGTTTTAATGTTAAAATTTCTAGTTTATTTTGTTATAAATTCAAATATAAGAGAAATAATTGAGTAAAATAATGATTCCAATTTATGTAAAATTTCCAAAAAGAAATTATTTAGATAAATAAAAAAGGTTTAAGTAAGAGTAATATAGTAATATCAATTAAACATCTTTCAACTTGGTTTAAAATATAATCTTTACTAAACTATATTAATTATCTAATATAAATTTTAATTAAATATAGTAATTTATGAAAAACCATTTTATTAAGCACAATATTAAAATATCAATCAATATTGCCTTTTTCTTTAATTGATTTTAGATATCTCCTAAAAATTAACTGTAAATACTAATTAACAAAAAATTAATTCTAACTTCCAATTCATATAATAATTCAAAACTTAAAATTTAAATCATAACTAGAACACTTGGTATTCTTTTGGATCTTTGAGATATTTTAAAATTTGGAACCTCTATTTTGGTTGGTAAGATATTTTAATTTATAAAGAATGGCATATAATTTATAGAATTCAAGTAAGAAGGTGAAATTTCTTTTTTAATTGAAAAGCAAAGTTATATTAATGAAATTCTTATATTTGATTTAAGTTTAATGATATAAAACCTGAAAAGAAAAGTTCCAACTTTTTAATTATTATAAATCTAAATTTTTTGAAATAATAAGGATTACAATATCATTAATAAATTCTACCTTATTTTAAATAAAATTGTTTTCAAAATCTTTATAGTCTATTCATTTGATGTCTAAGAAATATGACCTATAAAGAATCAAATTAAACAAAATGAAGAGTATTTTATAATCCTACATTTTATTGATAAATTTTAGTTAATTGTATTTAGAGTAGGATACTCAATAATTTTTAAGTAAAGATGATCCAAAGAATAGTTTCTAACCCTTCTAAAATGAAAGAAACTCTATTGGAAAATTAGTTTAAAGAACAAAAAGTGATGATAATACATCTAAATTTCATTTTCTTAAAGCTAATAAGTAGTTTTGCATGCTTAAGGCAAAGAAACTGTGCCATTTATTAAACATACTTTTAAGTGGAGCACTACTTATTTAATGGGTCTTCACCATCTTCAATTTGTTTGAGGGACTTTTAACATTTCCAATTTCTAAGAAGGAATGACAATTCACCTGATTTCTAGAAAACCATAAGTAGGGATAAGGCTTATTAAAGAAGTATTTTTTCTTAGATTGAGATTCAGAAGAAGTAGAACATGATATTTTGAAGTATGTTTATAGTGAAGAAACTTAAAAAAGAAGAATCTAATGATGAATAAAAATATGTCGGAGAGATTGAGTACTTATTATATCAATAATAAAAATATGGGAAATTAAGTACAATCTATATTTATAAAGATAAGATTATTAGAAAATAATAGATAGCAATAATGAGATAAAGAAGTTAGTATAACCAGATGTAAATATAAAAAATTTAATATATAGAGAGCGATATAGTATTAAGAAATTAAAGGGAGGTAAAATTAAAAAGTAAAGAGTGTAAAGAGCTGCAAATGGATGAATATTTAATTTGTCAATTTATTAATTCTATTTTGATTCTTACTTCATTTTATTGGTTTTGAAATAATGAGGAATATTATTTCAACAGAAACAATGTATTAATTAATTAAATAAACTATGCTGAAGAATATTCTCCGCCCAGGTTTCCTTAATAAAAATTTCTTGCTATAATTAACTAAGATGAATCTATGAATTCGAAGTAAAGAAAAATACAACTCAAATTAAAATAGAAAGAATTTAGAAACATATAAAATGAAAAATAAGTTTAAAATAAAGATTAAGAGAACACTATGTTTATATAATCACAGCCTCAAGATTCTAAAAAAGGTAAAGGAGGAAAGATAAAAAAAAGTAAACAGATAAATAATCATCACCATCCTCGACTTTAATTTGACTAATTGAAAAAATCTTTAATGTTTAACTTAAAAAATAAGCTATTAAAATTAAAAAAGAAGCAATTAAATTTTAAAAGCAGAAAGATGATATTAAAAATCAAAAAAATGTTATTATATAAGAAAAAAGAAAAATCCAATAAGAGATGAAGATCTAGTAAGATAAACATCATAATTTAATTAAATCTGCTGCAGAAGCTGAACCTAAAATAAAGGCCAATAAAGATTTTGTTAATGAAAGAGATGAAAGATTGAATGGATTGAAGATCGATTAAAAAAAGAAGAAGAACAACATTAAAAAACTGAAGAAAGATGCATGATTTTAGTTAATAAAATCAATGAATTAAAAAGAATGCGATAATTTTAGAGATTATAAAGAAAGATTATTAGATTAAGCTTAATAAATTAATCAAAAACATACTCTAAAGTATAGTGATTTAAATGAACAAGTTCTTTTTTATTAAGGAGAATTAAATAAATAAAAATTAAGAGATTATTGGATTAATGGGATAATGGATTTAAAGATTTAGAATTTGAGAGAAATAGATTATTAGTAAGAGTCTAAGAGTTCGATAGATTAGAACATAAATTAGGTAGTAACAATAATTGAATCAGATGTTGAATTGGATATAGTTAGAAGAATGAGAGGAATACATATTATTGAAAAAATACTACATCCAAATCGATATGAAATTCCAAGAGAAGTATCGTATATCCTCCTTTATAAAATAATGACATTTTAAAATTAAGGAGAGGTCTTTATATTTGAAATAAGAAATAATAGAGAGCATTATATGAAGCTGAATATTTGAAGAATAGATATCAAGATTTAGAATTAGCAGAAGATAGAACTATTAGTTTAATGTAACATAAAAAAAAGTATGAATCTGATCTTAATTTAAAATTACTAATAGGATTATGAAGTATTTCAATAATGCATTTCTCTTTTGATTGGTGGAAGTAATATTAAAAACGAAAGTGTAACCAGAAGCTTTCAAAACAACATTTACTAAATCAAAAAAAGAAAAAAATCAGTGATATTATTTAAAAAATAGAGGCTTTAAAGCAATTACTATAATAGCTTTAAGATTTTCAAATCAAGAGAGTTAGGGTTAAACTGAATTAAGGTCTATTAATTTTTATGTATACTTTAGTCAAGTTGTTAAAGCAGTGGTTCTTTTTTTTGTATCTGAAATAAAAAGTTTGTTTCAACTATTATTTGAATGTAATTGTAAACTTGTGATTTCTAAAATATTTCCCCTGTTGTTTATTGTAGAAAGATTATGTGAAGTTAATTAGTTTTGGCTATTTGAATGGTGTCATTTTTTATTGAGTTAACGTTCTAATGATTCATCCCTCAAGAATGGATTACCAAACAATTTTCTGGTTGTCGTTATTATTAAAGGGAGTTTCTGACTAAGATATAGTTTTATAATGTATTATTTGTGTGTGGCTTTTAAATAGTTTTGACAATGATGTTTAATTAATGGTCCTGTTTCCATCAGATAAATTTTAATTTTAACTTATAGAAACAAGATCTAAAAATAATAGCTTATTTTATATTTTTTTTATTTTATATGGGGAAAATACTTAATCTTTTTAGATCCAATCCTCCAAAGCTAATTGAGTTCCAAAAAAAGTCTTGGAGGGTAGTATTTTTAATTCATCGTTTTAACAACAGCATCCTCAATTCGCATTCTATTTATGCATTTGAATTGGAAATTTTAAGCATTATAATAATGATTGAAGATTCTCTTTTCAATTTAACTTTTTTTTATGATGACATAGTTAAAAATAATATTTCAAGCTTCTGAGATATCACAAAATCAATAGCTTAGCCAATAAATGTTTTTAAATAAATAAAATTTTCATTGAGCACAGGTCTATATTAATATATCAATATAACTAAAATGAATAATATAGAAAATGAAATTAATAAAAATATTTGAATGATTTTATTATCAAATTTTTGTGAATTCTTCAAATATTTCTTCTAAACTGCTATGCATAACAAAAAAGTGCATTAAATGAAACACAGGATTTAAATCCATGTTTTTAAGACTTTTAGCTATTAACCTATAAATTAATATTCTTCCAAATACTGTAAGCGGTTCTATTAGGATTTGTGAAATCAGAATATTTCCTAAATATATAATGGCAAATATATATTATTCTGATTGCATTGAAATTCTATGATAGTTTAATAGATACTTTGATATGTAAAAAATATAGATGATAAGATTTGGGGACATCAATAATATGATTTGTAGAAGGTGGCTAATAAAAGCAGCGATTCTTTTGAACCTATATATTGCTTCAATTATTTTATAAAATATTCTCATCAACAAAATGATTAAAGGGTTGAGGATTATGAAAACACAAATCAAAAGAACTTAATTATTTAACAAGTAACATTCAAGAATTGTTAAAGTTAATTATAAATTGAATTAAGAGAATACTTCTAAAATTCTATAACTAAATTCAATATTTTTGTCTTTATAATAAAATAATGAAATAGTTTAATGGATTTGCTAATATAAAATTAAGTGTTACCTTAAATTTTTCTATATACACTTTAGAAGTACCATGATATATTAGACTATTTTTTTCTTTTATAATTGGTGGATTCAAATTACTTTATTCGGTATCAACCCTTTCTTATTAGACTTTTTTATCTTTATATAATTGAAAAATAAAAATGCTGAGAAATATTAATGACAAAGAACATGTACTAAGTAATAAAGGTAATATGTCTTCAGATTTGGAAGCTAATTCAAGATTATATATTTATTTAGGAGATTCACTTGCATTTACAATTAATTTCGTAGAGGTTGTAAGGAAAATCTCACCAAACTTATCACATTCACAATGTAACTCAATTCTATTGTTATTTTATACTCTATTCAAATTACACTAATAAAATTTTCCAGTTATTGTTCTAATTACACAATATATTTCATATTCAGATAAGAGTTATGAATTATTTTAGCATACTTGATAGGATCCAAATTGTGTATCATAAATAGATGAAAAATTTTCATATTCTTAAAATCTTCTATTATAAAAGTTTTTCAACTTAATTTGATAGTAATTATCTGGGGATATTTGTATTGTTTGGTCATTAAAATATGTTTTGAGTAGTTCTTCCAGATTCAAGTTAAATCTTAGAGGATTTGTTTACAAATAAGCATATTCAAATTAAATAAAATCTATTAGGTAATCTTCTTAAGTTTATTGGATATTAAATTATTGATTGAATAATTATTTAGTTCTTCTTTTGATTTTCCAAATAATTTCAAAACCTTTAATAACTAAAGGCTTTTCGTTTACTAATATAATATTTTGGGTTTCTTCTGCAATTATATCAAAAAATCTTAACAACTCCTCAATAATTTGATCTATAGTTTCATCTTTTATATTTATTAATGAAAAATCAGAGTAGATATCATCAAGATAGTATATTAAACTTTTTAAGCAATCTTACGAATTTAAATATTATTAAAAGATTTATTCATTCCAAATATATGAATTTTATTAAAGCTCCTATTCGCATTGTTTTTTCATTTTAATAAAATATTTTTAAATTCTATTAAAATCTTCACTATTTTTTTTGAAATTTTCTATCTTTTGAGTTATATTTACTTCAAGTTATGTGGAATTTTAAGTAATAAATAAATGGTTTGAATTTAGATCTAAACATTTTTTTTGAATTTCTTCATACAACAATCGATTTTTAGTTTTATTTTCTTCTTAAGAGATTAAGAACTATTAATATAATTTATTAGCTTAAAATTTCAATATATTCGCATTCTTTTCTGGCAAAATTTAAGATTTGATCAAATCAAGATAAATTTATTAATGAAGCTCATCGCATTTTTGATTCATTGCTTCAAATAGCAGAGTTATTTTGTTTTATAAAGTTAAATTTTTAAATTGTATTGATAAACAATTTATTTTTGCAGGTTTAATTGAAATTTTTTCAAATTTATGAGTTATTGATCCCCCATTATCAAGAACTTCTACTAAAATTCCAATTTTTGTAGAGTCAATAGAAGAAGGAGCTTAAATTGAGAATTAATTTTAAGTTTAAAATGGATAGAAAATTAAAGAATTATCTGATATTCCATTTAAAAAATCTGTTAAATCAGATTCTCTCAAGAATTATCTAAGCTAATATTTATAAGGAGAATCATTTGATTATTCACAAGTTGTTGCTACTAAAAAATCAGTAAGTGCAAAGTCGCTTTAACGATTAATAAGTAATTTAGAACATTTAGCAGGCTAATTAATAGATAATTTTATATTATTTATGCTTGGCATGATATTATTAGTATATTAAGCTGCAAATTTAAGATTTATTTTTTCGCCAAAATTTAATTCTTTAATGCTATTAAATATCTTGAAGTGATGAGAAATGAATTTTGGTTGCAATATTTCTATTATCTAATAGTCATAAATAATTGTAATTGTTAGATCTAATAAATGAATTTTCTTTTCAAAAGGAATTAGATATGTAAAATTTAGTAATTCATAATTATTGATTTTCCTCATTAAATAACCTTTATTGAATTATAATTCTAATTAAGGAAAATCATCATCAAGATAAACAATAACAAAAGCAAAATTAGAAATTTATTGAAATTTTTTAGCAGTTACTGTCCATTCTTAGACAGTAAAGGTGGATATTGTATTCTTTTAAATGAATTGTAAAGAATCAGTTTTATTTACATTTATTATTTATTTTTATTCATTTTTGCATGAAGTATTAAATGATAAATCTTTACAAGCTACTTCAATATTTAAGTCTGGATCACTTTACCTTTCATATTTTGAATCAAAATCTTCACATTATATTTAGAGATTTAAATCTCTTCTAATATTCTAAATTCCTTGATTGTTGAACTAACAAAACAATCCAGCCATTTTAGTTTCAAAAGTAAAATATAAATTATTAGATATGTTAGAATTTAAATTAGTTGCAGTGACTTAAAATGTATAAGTTGAATTTTTGCTCAAAGTATATCTTGGAATAGTTGTGTAGACCATTTCAAAGGAATTTGAATCAATTGTAGTATTCAAATTTGATGAAGATGACTTTTTGGGATATCTATCAATTTCTATAAGTTAAATCAAGTATCTAGAAGAGTCATTCGAAATTGAATTTACTAAAGTACCAACAGAAACCCCAATGTTAATTGTTTCATATAAAAAATATGAGGGCTTCATGTCTATATTAATTTATGGAATATCTCCTGCATGAGTGTAAATTGTAAATTCAGAATAAGATGAAATAAGGATAAAATTTTAATATTGTATCCTAAATTTTAATACTGCATCACTTGGTAAAGTAAGTTTTGGTATTAATAAATTTTATTCTTAGAGAAAGTTAATTTAATCCAAAAATTAATTAAGCATAGAGCTAGATTCGCCAGACTCAACCTAACAACTCCAATCAATGTTTATTAACTTTCGATTTCCATTGTTTTTAATTGATTGTAAATATACTTAATTTTCAGCAAAAGGATTTAGTTTATGGAGGGGTACATGATAATTAATTTTAGGAGGTAATGGATTCTTTGGTTATAATAATGTTGCAAAAATAAAAGTTTTTAAAGTAGTTTCGCAATTAATATGAGATAATGAATTAACTTTAAATTTGATTGCTTCACCAACATTCATTTTAGAGTTTTCTCCTAGATATATAAATAGTTCCTTATTATTCTAGGAATTAATGGTACAAACTGAATTTTAACCAAAATTTTGTACAGATTCTAATTCAAATAATTACGAGCATTTATTAACTTCTATATAA